TGTGATTGTAGTGGTAGTGCGTAATATTATATTCCTTAATGATAATGTGATTGTAGTGGTAGTGCGTGATTGTATAGTCCTCAATGATAAGGTATTATGAGCAGAGGTAGTATGTGACAATATATTACTCACCCTTGGTCTTCCACGCTCATCAAGGATCTCGGCCCATATTCTGCCATCGGGACTGTGTTCTACAGTGTAATGAGAGACGAAGTGCGCCCAAAGCCCTCCAGGTTGTACAGTCTTATCTGGTTCAGAGTCTATATCGATCTTGTTCTCTCCCAGCACGACAACACCAACAATGCGTTTTGCTGTACCTAGAATCAATCCAAGAATGAAACTTTCAAAGCCTATTAACTTTCACGCACTTTTTAATAGCCTGGTAGTACGCGCAACGAACACTTGTTGTTATCGTTGTCAACTAAAAAATATTATTAATCTTCGCGCAGTGATATCTACGACAAGCAAAGTGGCAACATGGGGTCTTACGCACATAGTGATAAGTTGCGCGATTGAATCCCTTGCCCGAATTAGACTACCACCGACACCTTCAACTATATCTTGTCCCTCGTCTTTGAATCCATCTTCGTTATCTAGTCTTTATTTTACCTTTAAAGCATTCACTCTTTCTTTTTTCATTAAGGACGTTCGCGGGCAATGTTTGTGCGCATCGGATTTGCGCATATGACGTTCGCCTTGCGAAAAAGATTTCGAGCGGCTATATGTCGAAAAAAACATTGGTGACCACCATTTTTTATTTCCTCATCGAACCTCTATTATAATCTAATTTTACCATGCAAAGTTTGAGGGGGGGGGGGGGGGGGGGGGGGGGGGGGGGGACATGGAAAACGTATTTGTACATGTCCTTAAATTATCCATTTTATCAAGAAAAAATAAACTAAGAGAAGGAAAATCTGTCAGTATTCATGCTCATAACCATCATAAATAACGTTTCATGCTGTTTTTAGAATCATGTTTGCCATCTTTCTTTTGCACGAGTATGGTGCGTGCGCTCTACGGAGTTTGCAAAAAATTAAAAACACAAAAAACGTGAGAAAATAGCCTAGAGCGCGTGAAGAAAAACAAACGATCTAATGGATGATTCTAAGAATAACATCAATGCCCATTAAGAAAATAGAATCAAAAGTGCCCGATGGCGTACGGGGATTAATTCTCTTAGTTCGTATTTTATCTTTATTCTTATTTTATCTCCTTCACTTCTTTATTAGTTATATATTTGTTATCTAACTCTGAATCAAATGATTAAGCTACTACTAATTTATCATTCTTCATTTATCCATTTTCTCATTTTTCATTATTCAGTCATTCAACTAACCTAAGTCCATCTGAATAGCGGTCATGTTAAACCCTGGATGACAGTACTCCAGGTTGGCATCGACTTTTTCCATAAGGTAATCATCTCGTTGAAGTTTCTTGGTCTTTGGGTCGGTCAGGAGGATCCAGTCATAAGACCTAATGTCTTCAGTTTCTTTAGGAACCTCAAGCCAAACTTCTTTGTGTCTTAGGTCGCCGGTCGCGCGAAATGACTTCATGCAATCTGGAATCCAAATGATTATATCCAGTTATTATTGATGACGATATATACACCCCTTGGTGTGAGGACAAAGCAAAAGAATTTCATTCTCGTGAGAATTGGAAATCTATTGTTATGTCCTCCTGCATTCCGACGTGCTGCAAGGAGTCTATTTAACAAATTGACATCCGATTTTTATGTGTCTGTCCTCTTATTGACGAAAAATTGCGTTGACGTCAGCTTTATGTCTCTCCCCTTATTGATGATAAAAGATAACCAATTAGCGCGCAAGAAATTTGTAAGTTATTGTTAAAAGAGGCTTTGCACCATCACGTGCGGGCGCCCATAATACAGTTTGTACTGCCTGTGGTTGGATGGCAGAACAATTAAAAATTCCCTTGCTCTCGGAAATTAAATTGTTTCTCGTGTTAAAAGATTTTTCCTGCCATCTACCATGGTTGCAGTCATGTGATGGTGCAAAACCTCTAAATAGGGACCCCCCCGTTTGAAGAGGTGGGTTTGTTGTGCACTGAAGTCTATTTTCCAACGACACTCATGAAGTCTCTCTATTCTCTATCTTCCAGTTGCGGGTGTACTCAAAAAAAGTTGCAATCATGAAACAAATACTGTACAGAATAAAAAGTTATAAAACACGATTCCAAAAAAAAAAAAAAAAAAAAAAAAAAAACAAAAAAAAAAAAAAAAAAAAAAAAGAGCGCAGAAAATTTCTTCCGCAAACTAGAGTAGTTTTTCCGGCCAATGAGTCAAAAAAACCTGCTTTGATAAAGTTAGCGTTTTTCGAAATTTTAGCGTCAAAATGTTTCGAGGTTTTAGTCGACTCTTCTCTCCAGTTTTCTTTCTCGGCCACGCCGTCGCTTGTGGAAATATGAACGTCCATGCTTCTTGAATCACGGGTTTTACTTCTCTAGTTCATATGATGTTTAAAACTGGAAAATATGGAATTGAAGGTCTAGTTTCGCATACGCTCGCGAATAAAGCGTCACATAAAACAAACAAACGCAACGGATTTTTCGTAGTGCTTACAAGGTGTATCTTTCCTGTAAAGAGGAACGTCAGCAAGCTTGTAGCAATCGATGACTCCATTGAAGACACAAACCAACATTAACACAGCAAGCCCCAGACGAGACATAGATGGATGTTGAGCCGTTCACATCTTGAAGAAAATGAACATTTTTGCCTTGGTAACTCGCTTATGACACTGTTGTCATTCGTTTGTGATGTCATGATGACGTTGTTAGCGCGCGGGCGAAAGAATGTTCCAGAAAATATGAGAAATTTTCAAAATAAAAATGTAAAGAAAAAAGAAAGAAAAAGTAAAAAAAGAAACTAGAAGAAATGAAGAAAAAGTAAAAAAAGATCTTTATCTTGGACTTGTTATTTTTTTTAAGGTTCGCAAGTTAAAAAAAAAATATTTAGCGGTCTTGGTTTAAATTAAATTAAATTGCGGGCTTAATAGTTCACACCAGTTCTCATTGCCGGGTTTCATATCAAGCGAAGGGACTGTGCGGGAGACAGGAAAGAGGAAAATAAAGTTTGTCAGTTTTATACCGAACCTAATTCCGATAGTACATGCACATAGCACGTGTGGTAAGTTACCGTGATTATCATTATACATGCATCGAAAGCTTTGTCTCCGTAGATAGTGAAGTTTCTATACAGCAGCTGACAAATCTAGTACCCTGAGTACTCCGGCGCCTTCCTATCGTCAGCGTGGCGCTGTCCCAGTCATGTACTGACGACAGGAAGGACCAGGAAGACTCTGGGTATGAGATTGGCAGCTGACTAAAAATCTAAAAACGAAATGCCAATACTGAATAAGAAGTAAACAAACGAATGCACTCACGGTTAAGTCAGGCGGTTTTCAAAACAAATGGTTTTTTCCTTGGAATTCATGTTTATCCTGTCAGTCTGTCTCTCATCATGGATGATGCTCTCACTCTTCCCATTTCAAATCACGTGTCGGCTCCCTTGAGTATTATTTCTAAAACAACAATTTGCTTCACTCTTAGTATCTATTTTTTATTATATGATCTATAATAAAAGTATTTATTATAACTAGATTAAAAACCATGCAGTTCCCTCTCTACTTAACTGTGTAAAAACTTACCGGCTTTCTTTGGCATTCTTTCACAACTTTTTCAAACCATATTTCTGATTGCCCTAGTGAAAGAAACGTCAAAGAACGTGACACCTGTTGGTCGACATGACAAAAAAAACAAACAAAAAAACAAAAAAAACAAACAAACAAAAAAAACCTCAATGGTAGAGTATAGCGAATTACACGGGTCAAAATCGAATGGATCCAATTATCGAATAACACGGGTCAAAATCGAATGGATCCAATTATCGAATAACACGGGTCAAAATCGAATGGA